AACTGACATGAGCACATAGACTTCTGAGCAGAATCTGAAGGACCTAAATGCTAATTTGTACAATCATATTTTCTTCTGCTTGGTTGTTCATGTTTTTCTCTCTCCACTTAGGTTCCTGCTACCTGATGAAACATCAGTTAGTGCATCGTAGTTAGTACATCAGTTTGACCTCTGACCTTTGGCTACAGTACTGACACATGACCTGTAATTGAAACTGGTGTTCGGATTTATTGCTGACCTTTGACCTGCAGCTGGATGTCTCTAAGTTTCCGTTCTTCTCCTCCAGCACTGATGGAGCAGGTGTAGTTTCCGCTGTCAGTGTTTGTGGGTTTCCTCAGAGTGAGGCTGAAGTCCTTTGTAATGAAAGCGTAACGATTCATTGATGTGCGTCTGCTGTAACGCTGGTTTTGTCCTCTAACATCGTCTCCTACTTGTCGTCGTTGATGTACAGATTTGGGATCCAGGTCACTGCGAGTCCACATCAATGTGGTGTTGTCAGGTATAAAACCTGAGAACAGACAGGGCAGCAGGACAGACCTTTCCCCCTCATTCACCTCCACCACCACAGCCAGAGCATGCTGGGAAACTGAGGACACACAAAGAGAAACTCAAATCAAATACTTGTTGTGGGTTTGACTCATTGTTAAATTGATGGAATACAAGTAGCATCATCTTCTGGGACAAGTTTAACAAACAGACAAAAAATTCTAATCAAATTTAATCAAAAACACTGAAGTAAATGAAATAAGCTTTTAATCTTTAGAGTCAGTAATACAATCACCTACCGAGATGTAATACTGTTGATTTTAGATCTAATATCTCGTATATTTCTGGCAGCATCCTTTGTTATTTGTGCAAAAAACATAAGATTGTTCCATAAACCTACTGCAAAAACCAAAATGTAAGTTTCTAAAATAACACGTGTTGTTTAAAATGTTAAACACATTTTAAGACACCAGATCAAGGCACACACTCAATGTTTCGATTTAGTCTCTTCTGGTTTCAAAAAACACTATTAATACCACTACTTATGAAATAACAATAGTCCCATGGGTCGTGGGTGACCCACTGTTTTTCAAACATTGACCCACAACACACAGCAAGTAAAAACTTAAGCAAAACAAACAAACAGTTTGCATGTTTCCAGGAATCTGATTTATTCATAGGACAGTACAACAAACACAGAAAGCAAACACAAAAACACACAGCAGCTGATTGTAACATGAGCTCATCTGAAAGGCACCAAGAAGAATCCAGAGATTTGAAAGTTGCTGCTTTGGATTGTTAGTTTGATCTGAATCAGAATCCAGTGTTTGATGGAAATCTCCTCCTGCTGCACTTCAACACATTAAAGAGAGAGAGATGAAAGAAAAGCTGATGATGAGAG